ATGAAGGCATTGTCATCAAATAAGTTTGAAAGTATTTTGCCTCTTGGGTTTGGCATGGAACATCCCCATAGTTGATGTTTGGCATTAAGGTCACCTACAATAATAGTGTTGTCTGTAAGAAATTGAGCCATTGTTCCATCGTCAATAAGTTTATTGTTTGGTGGGTGATACACATTGAATATGTTGATGGTTTTGTTTTGATTGAGGTAGACTTTGATACCTTGGGCTTCGAGGTCTGATGTGTTTGGAATATTAATGGCTATGTCTTCATAATACAAATTCTTAATTAAAAATGCAAGGCCACCCCCTTCTTTATTTCGGTCTTTTCTGAGGATATTGTAGTTTTTATATTTGAGATTGTACTTTTCATTTAATTTGGTTTCCTGTAGGGCTATAATTTGTATCTTTTGTTTTTCAGCTATTTCCATTATTTCTTCTAATTTTATTTTTGTTGCTGTTGAGCACAATCCATTTATGTTGCACTGCAAAATGTTCAATTGCTTGGAAGCTGCAAAGTTAGAAGTTAGTGGAGACTGTATTATACTTATCGGACAGAACCCTCTATCTAAGTCCTGAACGCGCCCCTGTTTATTCTGCGTGATGGGCGATGCAGCATGCAAATCAACATCTGATCTCATGGAATGGGGTGTAGGGGTGCAGCTTTCGTTGATCATGGCACCATGATCCAGGCACACTTTGGTTAAAGTCTGACTTTGCCTGTAGTTTGAGGCTGTTCCTAACATGGAAGCAGATGCCTTTGCTGCCAACTCTAACATGAGTACAGACGCAGCTCCTCCGTATCCCTGGAGTGGGACCCTTGCTGAGGTCTATCAACTGGGCCAGTTGAAGTCAGGATTTTTAAAGAGGTCTACTCCTCTTCTAACAATGCTGCTGTTGGTCCGCGACTGCTTATTTGTCAGAGTTACTCTGCTTGTTTCACAGCTGGCCTTCATATCTGAAGGTCGTTCCCCTATCCGCCACCTGGGGACGCGCCCTGTAGCAGTCAGCTCTGCCAAGGGAGATGGGAGGTTGCTTAGAGGAAGAGACGCAATGGTGAAATTGGACAAGATTATGAAAGATAAAAGCATTTCATTCAAGACAAAGAAAATAATTGTAGACGAATTGACATTCCCTGTGGTCATTCATGCATGTGAGAGTTGGACTCTCAGAAAAGAAGAAAGAAAAGGAATTGTTGCTTTTGAAATGTGGACATGGAGAAAGCCACTTAGAGTATCATGGACAGATAAAAGAATAAATGCTTCACTCCTAAATGAAATTGATCATGTTAGATTCCTAGTATCCTAAATATGCAAACAAATACTGACCTACTTCAGACATATAATGAGAGAAAATGTTTTATAAAAGATGATGTTGGGAAGAATAAAAGAAAAAGAAGATCTTCAATGAGCTTGCAAGAAGGGGTCAAGAAAGCTACCAAAAGGTCAGTGAATGAGCTGCGAGTGATAGCCACTAACAGTTCAAATTTGTGGCATAAGTTTCCTAAAGGAAGCGACATTGTCGACATTCTGACAGTATCAGGACGCCAGACTTTATAAACCATGTCCAATTCTATTGAGGAGGATCTTGGGAAGTCGATGAGGGAACTCGTCAGAGAGCTGCATGTTGATAAGGCTACCATTCGACATGTGGTTCATGAAGACCTCCGTTACAAATCTTACGTGATGTAGAGAGGACAGTTCATGTACAAAAGAACTAAAGTGAACCGCTTGACCAGAGCCAAACACCTTCTGAACAAGCTCAAACATCCAGAGGAGCCAGGAATGATCTGTTTTTACTCAGACGAGATCATCATCAATGTTACACCCAACGTTTGGGCCCCCAGCTCACCAGATGTCAATCCGCTGGGGCGTAGTTGAGAGGGACTCGAATAGTCATCCCCACAACACTGTTGCAGCTCTCAAAGTGAATGTAATGGCAAACATTCCCAAGACCCATCTCATTACTGCATGCAGTCGGTTTCAACTGTGTATAGAAGCTGTTATTGTCACTGATGGCGGGTTTATGGATTGATTTCGTTCTTTAGGTGAGTTCATCTATATAAAACTTTAATATGTAATAAATGCTCTTTTCCCTTTTTCTATTCATTTTTTCCCATTGACATATTTTTTTTTCTCAAATAGCTACCGCTTCGGTATATACGCTGCGCGAAATTGGAAGTGGGACACAAGAAAAAGTGGCCAGAAAATTATGCAAATTCATGATATATGTGCCTCACCGAGTCATGCAAACGATGTGAAATGCTCAGCTCTCGTGCGCACGTGGGGTAAGATATAGGGAAAGGAACTTTAAAAAAGGACAGTATTCATGCCGTTATTTCTTCAAATAAAATAATCGTAGAAAATGTGTTGTTTTAAAAGACACATGCAATAGCAGATAATGCCAGGTCGTCGTCAACGGAAGCAGTTACAGCAGACAGATGCTTTTACGAGGGGCATGGTGATCGGACTGGAAAGGGAAGGTTGGTCCATACGTCAAATCGCAGCTGAAACCCACCTGGGTGCGTCCACGGTGCACCGACTGTGGAGAAGTTGGTTGGAAAAAGGAAATGAGACAATTTATAGGAATGCCGGTGCAGCCAGAGTGACGTCAGCACGCGTGGATCGGCGTATCCTTCAACAAGCAGTGGCGGACCCACATGCCACTTGTTCCTCCGTTCTGAAAAATGTGCAAGACACCCTAGATCATTCCATCTCTACCAGAACCATCTCCCGTCGATTGGTTGCTAATGGCTTGCATTAATGTCGTCGGTTAAAAAAAAAAAAAAAAAAGAGGACTGCCATTGATCCCAATGAATAGACGCCAAGATTTGGAATGGTGCCGGGCTAGTTCGACGTGGATGAAGTAATGGCACAGGGTCGTGTTCTCAAATGAGTCACCTCCAGGGCACTATGACGGCCCAACGATACGTTGATGATGTGCTGCGACCGGTGACACTCCCCTACCTTCAGAGGGCACCCAATGTCCTCTATCAGCAGGATAACGCCTGACTGCACACTGCTTGCATTAGCCAACAGGCTCTGCAAGATGTACATATGCTTCCCTGGCCACCGTACTCTCCTGACCTCTGGTCAATCGAGCACATCTGGTACATTATTGGATGACGTTTGCATGCCTTGCCTCAGCCGCGATCAGAAGACGAACTGTGGCAAATGGTTGAAAGGGAATGGAGAGCCTTCTCTCAGGACGCCATCCGTAATCTGATTGACTCTCTACCTAGAAGGGTTGCTGCGTGCATCGCTGTCCGCGGTGGTCTTACTTGCTACTGAGCCGACGCCTTTCTCGCTCTGTATTATGACTATCATAAAGATCACTTTTTGTTCGTTACTGCCTCTCTGTTTTACAAGTTTAATCTCTTTTGGCCCCTCTTTCTCAATGTTACATTTTCAATGTCACGCAGTGTATGTTTAGGTTGATAAATTCATCGAATTAATATGGGTTATAAAATGAATAAAATTACTACAAGGAAAAATATATAACTAAAGCATGATAAATAAATAAAAAAGACTTTGGATGGCTCTTCGGCTAGATTTTTAACGCTTTTTTTTTCTGTCTGACATTTTAACTTTAAAAATCCAGTCGAAACGCAGTTTTTCGTTCGAAAAATAGCCGTTTTTAACTTTTAATAAAGATACGCCTTGCTATTCAATGGTGTAATATATTGACAAAATATTTTCTTACAAATATTTATTATATTTAAAAACAAAACAAGCGAATAATACCAAATTGTTCCTGCGGAGAAACTGGACAAACTGCTCTCCATCTCATCCACGACCGTCCGAACTTTGCAGAAGTGAGACATCGTTTGTTCCCTGATCTAAATCATTTAACTCTCTTATATCTTTGTCTATATAAATTTTATGAACTTTGTCGATTATTACATGTAAATTTGTAAATATTCAATCCTATGTTCTAAATTGTCGTTTTGTTTGTTTCTTCTGTTATGAGCGCAAATATTTCAATATCGCGCCTGGTTGATTAATAAAATTTAGAATATGCTGACATCAGAAAGGATTCAGGAAAGAAACACGGTTTCATGCTCAGGTTCTAAATATTGTAGCGAAGTATTTATTATTTTTACAAGCATTTATTATTTTACACTAGTATTAACAGAGTATCATTTTTTTTTTAATGTTTATATTTTACTACTCTGTAAACTTCCCTCATTCCTTAGCTTTTGTTTATCCTTCATAGTTTGTTCTTGCCTTAAACAAATTGCTGTCTCATCCTGAAGTTTGTCTTCCCTAATTTTCCACGTGGCAATAGAATACTTGATTGATATCCCATATTATATGATCTAATGTAATATCGTAACCAAATAATCGTACTTTAACCGAGTGTTGTGGAGAATAAATTAGATAATATAGATGTTATTGATTAAGAAAGTTTGTATAAAGTTTCAAAAATAAACTTTTATTGAAAAATAGAAAATGTTATTCTGTAAGTTCAAAATTTGATACACTTTTTTGTAAAGTTAAATTTTAAATTATAAAATGTTAATTTTTGTCTTGAATGTGGCTTTAATGTTAAAAATATCTAAAAAAAAAACATTTTAAAGCTATTAATACATCTGAAAGAATGTTTTGTATTTATATATTCAACTGATCTCCACGCCTTCTCATTGGAAGAATGTGGCCATGTTTGTACATAATAAAAAGGTTTGTACATAAAAATGCTTGTACATAAAGAGGTCCAAAGGTAATGCGAGAAGTTCTACTCGGGGGTGATTGGTTGGAGGTGCTTAAAGTGTTCTCTGTGTTCGTGTCTGGTGATCTCCTCGCATACCTGTGTGTCCGCTCTTATCAACGCTGGAGTAAAAGATAAGTGCAGGTTTTGTTATAACTTATCGTGTTTTTTATTTACATCCTTTCTTTTTGTTGTTCTTGTTGCCGTACCTTCTGAGTGTACGAGTTTCTGTGTTTTACTTTCGGTTTAAATATTTTCTGTCTGTAACCCGCTTATTGTAGCATTTTTCATTTGGTTCCCACGTGGTCTAATGGATAGGATATCTGGTTCTCACCCAGAAAACCCGGATTCGATTCCCGGCCTGAGAACCAATAAGCGGGGTTACATACAAAGAGTATTTGAGCCGAAAGTAGAAAGTAAACACACAGAAACGCGTACACTCAAAATGTACAACATTAACATAAAGGGAGGATGTAAATAAAAAACACTAAAAGTTTTAACAAAGCTAGTACAGTCGAACTTGGATAATTAAAAGCCCAAGAGACAAAAAAAAAAATCGAATCATCCAAAAATTCGAATTAAAAACGTAAATTCCATTTATAGGATATTCTAGGGACCAAGATAAATATTCGAATAGTAAGGCAATAGGAAAAATATAAATATTATTAATTTGTGTGTGAACAATGTTTCAAAATAAGAATACAAAATAGTGAATAATTTAGGATAAAAGGCTGTTTATGGTATAGAAATCGGGTAAAAGTAAAACTGTATCAAGAAATTGGTTCAAAAAAGGGGTTATATTAAGATTTATAAGATTATAAATATAAGATATATTTTATCAGTATAAAAGTGAAGATGAAACAAGGAATAGAAATAAATAAAGACAAAATATTAATTAGCATGTAAGAAATAATAGAAATTATGAAAATTTCATTAACTCACTATTTGGAGGTTGCACAGATTCAGGTGGAGCCTTGTTAGAATTGTCTCTGGGTGGTTGTAATGGTTTGTTGTACCATGGTTTACTTCAGACCTTGCATAAAGCCATAGCCTGTGGGGAGTAGTGTAGTTTGCTCTTTGACGTAGTTTCCGTGACTGGCTACATTTAGATTAGATGCTTAGCGCTGGATATGTAAATATGTTCAGATCGACTTGGTTACGCTATCACATTAGTGCTATACCTTATTCTTTTATTTGTTCAGTATCGCTCCAATTTTAGTATATGTACCGCCGAAAAGCGTGTACTTTATTCGTTCAGTAGTATTACCACTACGCTTCCATCGCATTATGCATAAGCATAATTCATTCTTTCATCAGTTCTGAAACGTTTGAATTGCATTAGAGCTCTGCATCATTCATTCGGTACTAGAACACTTCCATTCCATTAGCGGTATACGCAATTCATTTCCTCCCTTTAGCACTACTATGCTTCCATTGATTATAGCGGAAGGCATTATTCATTATTAGTGCAATTCCATTGCTTTGGTCATTCGTATCATTCATTAAGGGTATTCATAATTCATTTAGTTTTAGTACATGCTCATTACAATAGCGTTATGCATCATTCATTTATTTAGTACTTGTATTTGTATTTGTATGTGTAGTATTTGTATACCTTCATTGAATTAGAGATTTACAGCATTGATTCATTGATTTTGTAGTAATGTTCCATATCATTGGTGTCAATCATTATCCACACAGTAGTAGTACAGTTCCATTGCACATTAACGGTATGCGTCTTCATTCAATACCAGTTCACTTCCTGTGCATTAGCGGTATGCATTTTTGATTCATCCAGTACTTCAATTGCATTAACGCCCAGTATCATTCATTTATTTAGTACTAGATAGTTTGAATTCATCAGCGTAAATCATCATTGTTTCATTCATATTTGGATTAAATTTTGGTATAATTCCTTTGTAAAAACTATAATGTTGCTTTAATTCCGCAAAATATAGAATTTCAAAAGATTATATTTTTAATGAAAAGGTTCAAATATCCAAATAATCATACAAGACTCATTGTTACCTTTCTAAGGAATTATAAAATAAGTTTTTACTCTATATATCTCTTTGGTGGTGGTGTCTTGTTTCCACTCCATGGAATGGGGGGGGGTGCCATTGCCCCGTTAGTCAGCCACGCCACATTTCAGAGTTCCCTGTTCACGGTTACCATAGCGGCTCGGGGCTCACGACACCGTACTTCGCCCTACAGGACAGTCTCTTACTTGTGCTGCTCTCCCGCCCGCTACGTATATATCTCTTTAAAATAAATTTATGCCATTAAATTCTATATATATAATGGGGAAAAAGTAGGCATACTTTGAATTAATATTTTCTTTAAAAATTATATTAGGCGCTATAGCAAATACTAGATTTAAAACTATTTTGAAGCGTAGAGATGTCTTTTGAAATAAAACATACGAGTCTAAAATAGTTTGAATTTCTCTTATAATAGACGCAGTTAATGCAGCATATAAATACTTCAATATAAATATTGAACTTTCTTTAAGCAACCATAAAGGTCCATGTTATCATTAGAGTCCATACATCGTTGTTCCAAAACCTTTTTTTAATGAACACATTGAAGATTACGTCTCTCACTTTTGAATTGTCACGTCTCTTATCTTTAGCGACTGTAAACATCTAATTTATATATACATACCAATTTCAAGAGGGAGAAATACTATTTTTATACCTATACACAAAATAAATGTTATAATTTATTGAGGCTGTTTACTACGTTTGATTCGGAAGTCTTGGTGTTTAAATATATATTGAAACAGTGCAGCAAACAACATTATAGAAGAACGGCAGTGAAGCGTTAAAGAAGAGAGTCGTGAGCAAGCCAGTAAAGAGAGTATGCACGGCCCCCCCCTACAGGGAAGTGTTGATAGACAGATTCCAGGGAGTGGTGGCAGTCCAGCTGGTGCGATCGTGGGAGAAGAAGCCGAGATAGCGCTCGGCCTGAAGGCGGGTTTGTCAGTCTGGTGACATCTGCGGCAAGTAGAAGACGTGGAAGTTGTCTCCGGGGAGGGTGACAGTGTGGATGATCCTGCAAGACGGTGCCAGGAGAGCCTAACATCGGAGCGGCCTACAAGGCAGTGTAGTCCAGGCTGGACGTGTATAGTCTAGAGCGGAAAGTTTCCCAAGAGATACATCCACGGCGCCAAGGATCCTTCTGACAGGGATGTTGAAGGCAATTCCTACTTATTGTATTCCTTCTCTTTAGTTCCACGTATAATAGAGCGATAACTTTAGCTGTATCCCTTCGAACTCACATGTGTATCTTTGTGGCATCCTGATTAGACAAAGAACACGAACAGCGTCTGGGTACGACGTAACAATATCTATAATGAAGTTTCCATATTAGCAATTTTAACTCTTTTCACATTCACTGCTTCGCTTTTTGTGCTTTCTTAAAGCCTATTCCAGAAATCGTGAATGCAATAGTCAACGGGGTTGGCATCAAGTAATTTAAACGGGAAGTGTGTGGAATGAGACTTGATTTAATACCAATTTTAAAAGTCATTCAATTAAAATATGACAGGATTTTTGATTTGAAGAAATAATCTGACGAATTTGCTAATCACCATATCTTTCCTGATAATATATTCTGAATTAATTCTAAAATGTTTCGATTTTTTTTTCTAATTTTAACTTATCATTTGTAGAAATACTCTTGTTGTTGTCGTGTCCAATGAAGAGCCTTAGATGTCCCCATACATCTCTATCACAGCAGTCACAATCTCCTCTATTTTGGGTGTATATAACTGCTGCTTTGGGTCCATGTCACATTTCTGCAAGGCTGCGGCCATTGCTGGACATGAGAATATGTAGGTAGGTGTTAGTTCCAGGACAATTGTTGCATGTCCTGTAGGTTCTTGTGCCATCTGGATGTATTGTCAAATACTCTTTTTGATTGTGATTAAAGAAACCAACAAAAGACTATTCTGTAATTGTAGATATTCCCTAAATATTGATTCTTTATGAACATTTTATATGAAGGTGTAGGGTTTATATTTTCTTATCAAGCCTTTTACATTCTTAAAATTAAAGATACTTCGGCCAGTAAATCTTTTCATTATAAAAACATTCATTGGCCGAAGTATCTTTAATTTTAAGAACTATGAATGCCGATCAGGCAGCCTCTACCTATTTACATCTTAAATAAGTAACAGACGCGTTTTATCAAAGAAATATTTTATTGGACAAATCACATCACTACGGCAAATGTACTAATGTAATGTAAATGTGTCAACAACCATTCTAAAATTTATTCAAAGAATATAACACATTACAATATCAAAGAAAATAATATGATTTACATTATTCAATAATGATAAGTTATTAATAATAATAATATAATTTTAAACACAAAAATTGAGATCTTAATGTTAATTATTAAAGTCAAAAAAGGCATATCCTGACCACGAGCACATGAACTTTTTAGATAGCAGAGCGCCATCTAGTGGAACAGAAATCAACTAAACATTGATTTAGCTTATTCTCTGATATTTGGCCAACCCATTTTCTTGATAAATCAAGAAAAGCCATCTATAACGCATTTCGGGCTGTTGGCCCTCGTCAGCGTGGAGCAGGCTGTACCACTGCGACCAAAAATATTTTTTGGTCCCAGAGGCTTCCTGAGAAACCAAGAAATGGGTATTCAAGGCTAAACTTGCGTAAATATTATTATTATTATATTATATATATATTTTCAAATGTTTATTATGTGAATATAGAATAATAAATTCAATTAGAAACATATTTATTTATGCCTTCTGTAAGTAATTTTAGAAGAAGGGCGTTTGCTATGTATATATACATATAATATGATGAAAATATTGACTCAGTTAACTTAATAAATAAAAGGTAGGCTTCTTATATGTTTGCCATTATTTAATACATTTATATATATGTGAAAAAATAATAAAAATATAAAAAAAAAGGTCAGGTGTTGGTATTAAAATCAAAAAAGGCATATCTTGACCAGGAGCACATGCGATTTTCAGAAATTTTTATTTATATTTTGGAAAATAAATATTTTATTCAATCCAATATATGCCATTTTACTATCTAATTTATATATATGTGAAAAAATAATTTAAAAAGATCAGGTGTTAGTATTAAAATCAAAAAAGGCAATCCTGACCACGTTCACATGAACTTTTTAGATGGCAGAGCGCCATCTAGTGGAACAGAAATAAACTAAACGTTGATTTAGCCTGTTACCTAATGTTTGGTCAACCCATTTTCCTGATAAGATACAGTCTGCACCACTCTGACGAGAGCCAACAGCCCGAAACGCGTTCATGGTTGACTTTTCTTGATTTATTAAGAAAATGGGTTGGTCAAATATCAGGGAA